CAAATTATTACGTGAGTAAGCCGAAAACATAATCATTTACTTAATTACATCGTCACAAATAGCAGGAAAATAAAGTCTTTGTTCGTAAATAATGCAGTGTTTTTGACAATTGTTATTCTACCACAATAATAATATTGGTATATATCCTTACACTATTGGATTATTCCGTCACACACTGATATAGAAGACGATGCACAGTTTGTTAACTTATCGTTAGCTATGGTCTGTTCCTATGTGTTTCTACCACTTGTCTCTGTCAGTTCAGTAACAAGAGAACTTGTTCGCTGGATGTATATCTAGTCACTAGCCATAAATACATGGAATGTAAAAGCTCCATAATCTCTAAGATTAAACTTAATTTATATTCTTAAATGTACTGCAGGAAACGTGTGCTTAGTACGCAATATGCAATCTCTTCGAGAAAATATGCAATCTCTTACAATGCCTATCAACACAATGAAGGTGCAGCAAGTTTGAATGAGCGTGTAGTACCCGTACACTTCCATACAGTCATTCAATAAGGCTGTCGAGCCCCGCGCGGTTGCGGTCTGCGGATTGAACGTTGATATCTTCATTCAAAGACCGGAAACATAAATCAAAGTAGAGCTGCTACGCGTCGCTGCGGCCCACGACCGACACACGGACGTCCATATTTTCTGTTTGCAATAACATACACTTAAGAGTCCCTAAATGATACAATTGTTTTTATTGTGTCATTCATAATCGTGCTGATTCAAATGTAATCAAATCAATCGTAGTGAAATTAGTTATTGAACTTTGTAGTAAAATAATACAATGACATTATTTTGTGAATCTTTCACGAAACAACTTATATTAAAGCAGAATCATTACGTATGGCATGTGTATATGTACTCACTGTGCTTCAAAGCAAGAAGTAGTTCAATTTAGACCTACTACCTACCTACTTCTTTCAAATTAATTAGTTGGTTATCCGTTCATTGGTTTGGAACATTTCCTTGAAGGTGTACTTAATGTGTATTAATGAAATTCGCAGCTTTACAGTGTGAACTTATCTATTAGTTATAATTTAGTTAGTAGACGAGCGGTACTATTTGCAGTGAAAGTGCAGTGAGTCATGTGCGTCGTTAGTTGCGCGACGACGACGCAAGTCGGAAATAGAGCTGCGCCTGCGCTGATGCTGCGGCTGCGCCTGCGGGCGGTGCGTTGGCGGCGCGGATGGCCGTTCACCGGCCGGTCACATCATTTTTTAGAACTTTTCATGTTAGTCTTTAGGTAACTGAATTAATCATCTCATTTATGTTTTCTTAAAAATATTTAGACATTAGTCACTAATCAAACAAAAGGTGAATTTTCTTTTATCATAATATACAGGGATCATTTCAATTATTATAGATATCTACATTAGGTATTTTATTTATTTACCTAATCTACAATATTGTTGTAAACACGAGTGGATGAAATATCCCAAAGATTCCACTATTGTTTATGTTATCTTAATACATTATTAAGCACCACAGTGTATATTAATAAATATTATAATTGTCGTAATTAATTAAAAGGGGCCCGTTCTTTATAGTTGAAACCCAATGAATGCTTGCTTTCATAGATAGGAAAAGAAACGACCGTCAATGAAATAAATGCAGTTGCACAAGGTCGTAAGGAAGGTCGCTGCAAAGTGAACTTCACGTGACCACAATAATTAGTATCTGCACTATCTGCAATCTTAGAAAATAATCCCACTTACTATTTAGTGATAGTTGCATAATTGAAATTTTATTGTGAAGAAATTTAACCGGGATATGAATGCGTTTCCTGTCACTGTAGACTGGAACTATTTTTCTTCTAACTGTGTCAATGAGTATTAGGTATGTGTTCCGATTTCTTCTGATGTCCTTTAGCTGATTACCATGGTTGTGGTACTACACAACTTACTTGTTTATATATATTGTTGTTCTATTCAGACATGCATATAATAATCTGTTGTTTCTTATTGTAACATGTCTCAGGTTAGTGTAGGTTGTCATGATTTGAATGCAAATAATGCTTAAATTTGCCAAAATTAGAATTATAAAACATTGATAAGGTCATTAATACGCCCTCACTAGGGACTAACCGCATGACCCATTTACGGCTCAACCGGATTCACTCTCACCGAGATGACGGCTGAGTGCTCATAATTGGAACCATATAACGGATTATGTAAGTACCACATTCATTCACCGAATTGGTTTAGTACAATCCACGTGTAAGTGGATTACGCGTATCTACGCAATGTACGTACTATTGCAAGCAAAGAATGCACCGACGTGATATGCATCATTGCATTACATTACACGCGTCTTACTACTCAGGCCTTGACAATACATACGGTGAAATACAACACGTGAATCGACTTGTTTATCCACAATTCGAAACTGAGCTCAATGACTGCAATTTTATAAAATTATCGTAAAACGTAAAAGCTACTCAAAATGTGTAGTAAATAAATCGTCATTTTTAGCGATCCATGTTTTTAGTATAAACCTTATTCCCTTGTTTTGAGGTTTAATGTCCCAGATGTGCGTAAATGAGATGTGTTAAACCTGTTCGTTGGATGTTATAAAACGCACAGCGACGGCGCGCGGCGCCACAATATGACGGCCAAGGGTGCGAGCGGGAGGAGAGGAGGCTGTAGTAGAGACGTAGTAATCGCGCAGCGTGCTGAGGGGGAGGGGAGAAGCTTCATTATTACCGCGTCAGTACATCCAGTGCAACTCTTGAAATAGTGATACCAATGTTGTCGATATTTTTCTTTTCATTGATACCCGTCTACAATAATTTTATGCGCTGGTGAATGCCATCTCTTACCAAACGCGTTATTTCTGCTGACGGGATGTTGATAGAACAATGATTAATTACGCTTGTTGTGTTTCGCCTTTTAGGGAGATTTTTGGGTTTTCCGTAAATGGTTGTCACACTAGTCCTTTGGGTGTACATGGGAAGCATAATATTTATGTTTTTAGAATACCCAATTGTTTTACAGGATCCACAACATGTTGTTACGTTATTTACAGCGATATAAAAATGATACATATTTAACGGGGACCAATAATGATGACCATAGAAATATGTTAGTGTAATATGGATCTATCGACATAGCTTTGAGGTTCAACACTATACCTTAAAGTTTTACAATAACATTCCGTGCTCTATAAATACTCAGTGAGCTGAGTGACCGAGGTTTGCGGAACGTGAGACAGCAATATGCGTCGAGTTCATTTGCATTGTGTCGTGTCGCTCGCTGTCGACTGACGTGTTTTCAGGTTAGATAGGTACGTGGTATTGTTCCACCCACCACCCCACTGCATCACGCACACCGCGGCACGGCACTCACCGGGCCATTCCCTCCTTTTTCCCGCGTCATTGCGCCATTTCAGCCTATAAGTCCAAACAAGTTTATGATTTGTGGTAGCAATGCGAGTTACCTATTATAAAATGGTTATTGATTGACCATTGCGGTCCAAATGTTAGTCTATCAGTAATAGTGGCTTCATTTTTGTATGGTGGGTTCTTTCGTTAAGAAGGATGAATACGTTACCACAGCACCTAATATAATTTTAATACGACAGTAAAATAAAATATCGGGTCTCATTTCAGTGAGAAAACGTGGTACACTGTTATTGCGTGCTACAGACAGACCTCATGGCTTACACGTCGTACCCATTGTTTATGCTGCCATCTTGGTTTCCCTCCCGCGCATTTTGTGCACATGCGCAGTCAGCCTTTGACCTTAACTTCCTCGCCCTGAAAGAGTAGCCGAATGAAGTGATACAAACTGCGCAATATATTGGCCTTGTACTTGTGTTATTACAATTCTGTCAATTCTTTTGTCGTAGGCTCACAACATAATTAACAAACAAGTAGTAAATTAACTATGGAAGGTTAGCTATTAAAATAATGCTGAAAAATGACTACTTCTATACACAAATCTACATTACACTTAGACTAGTGTTACTGGAGAATTTAGATAAAATTTTAGAGGCCAGTTTTACTCTCACTCACACTTACTTAAGTAGGTAGTCAGTACAGAACTACTTTTTTAAATATTGCAATTTAATTAGCTTACGTTATTTATTTGATCCGCAGAGGGGGGTTTTTATTGATACCTATGTGAAAGGGTAGTTAGAGTTAGATAATCTATATAAATAAAAATGAATTTCTGTTCGTTAGTCTCACTAAAACTCGAGAACGGCTGAATTGATTTGGCTAATTTTGGTCTTGATAGGTTCGTGGAAGTCTAGGGAAGGTTTAAAAGGTGAGAAAAAAATTTTAGGCGGTACGAAGTTTGCCGGGTCAGCTAGTTTATTATAAAATTCTTAAATTTTATTTATTCTTCTTTCGTCGGTCTGTAAAAAGGCGATACGCACAAAATCTACTAGACGGGTTTGTCTCCTAAGGAAGGTTTTTTGTTACGGGTGAAACTAAATGCGGAACTTTAAAATTATTGTGCAAAATAATTCGTACATTGCGTGCATTATTTATGGAAACTAAAAAAATAGATAAATATGTATTATTTTACTCTCTTACACTTAATTTATCATGTAGGTAGGGGCAATCAAATTCCTAGTGTGCGTTAATTATGATACAAGTTAGCCAGTGGGGGGTTATTTGTGCCAATAATTGAATTGTTTACGGAAAACACTAATAACTAATTTGTTGTTTAGTATAACTTGACTGACGGGGGCCTATTAAGTGTGTTAAATAATGCCTACCCTAACACCCGTAGTTATGACAATATGTAATAGGTATCAGAAGAATCAGTCGCATTTTTAAAAAAGTATACCTAACTTACATTTCTTATAACTAATGCGATTAATAGTGAAATGATAAACATATTATGCTTTAATGCTGCATAAATATAATTAATATACTTACCTAGGTATCGTAAATATTAACTCGATGTATTGACAAGTAGTTAAATGGTGTTGCAATAAATCTTACAAGGTAACAATATTAAATTATTGTTTTTATTGTTCTAGTATGCTCGTCGATGGATATAAGGAACAAGCCGGAGAGCTTCGCGCAGCTGAAAGGCTGCCGAGTCATCGAAGGCACGCTGAGTATGGTGTTAATGGAACGCGCCACGCCCAAGATCTTCGAGAACATGAGCTTTCCAGAACTGAGAGAGGTCACCGATTATATAGTGATGTATAGGTGATATTAATTAATCAATTAAACACATTTTACAAAACCCACATACAAACTTTTACAGGAAGTAAATATTTCCAATTATTTTTTCGTAGAATTACTCGAGCTACCTGTATATTAACAGGTTTTATGCCTTGCAGGACGAAAGGTGTGCAGAATCTGGGTGACCTTTTTCCCAATCTCACGGTGATACGTGGAATGCAACTCTTCAAGGATTTCGCTCTCGTTATATTCGATAATGAGCATCTGGAAGTAAGTTTCAAGTCCAACATATTATGTTAGTTTGTGTAGATAAGACTGCATTTCGACCTGATGTTACATGCGGTTACTGCTTCCTACGGATGTCCGCATTGTCCGCTGTACAAGTACTGATTAGGTAATAGGCATGATGATATATGTATAAACTATATGTATGTACATACGTACATACATATATTTATATGTACATATGTACATACATATAGTTTATACATATATCATCATGCCTGCATGCGAAGAAACATTACGATAAACTATATGTATGTACATATAGTTTATCGTAATGTTTCTTCGGTAATCTTTTGTAAATAATTCTGGGCGTCTAACTGCGTTCTTCATATACATGGGCATTGGTAAACCCTTACTGGAAACTAGGCCCTCAGTCTCTGGCAGTCCCACTGTTCCTCAGCTACCGTGGTTTTAGGGTGATGGCACTGGGGTATAAACTGCGAAGAAACAATTTTCATTAATTACATTTAATTGAGTTCATTAAAACATTAATTTATTTAAGAAATACAGTGATATTCATAATATTAACATTAGATTGAATAACTTCGGGTTTCGTTCTACCTCTAGTGATGAGGAGGGCCTCCTTTTCTACAATAACGCATCCACCTATAATCACAATTTAAGCCTCAATAAAAAATCATTAAACTTTGACTTGTAGAGTAAACGTTGAGGAGGTTTAGCATTATTGGGAATGATTACTTTACGCATACTGCCAAGCTGCAGCAAAGTTCGATAAATTTAGAGTTTCGTAAAAACATTCTTATCTAAACTTTGTAGACAGGCACCTATTACCGAAAGACGCAGGTACAGACTAGTTTAGTTATAAACGTTCGTAATTCTATCCGCAGTCTGTGGGGCTTCGGTCTTTGGTGAAGATTGAGAGAGGCGGAGTGCGGATACAACAGAACGACAGGCTTTGTTATGCTAACACTATCGACTGGTCCTTGATCACATCGGAACATGCTGTCAACATTATTAGGGTGAGTTAAATTATATCTGTATTTATTCATAATAATCTCTTAAGTCGCCGCAACATTTTATTTGTTAAGCAAAAGTTGCATATACTCGTGTTCCTTTCTTTTAAGTTTTACCAAAAGTCTTTACATAATGAGCGACAATCGATAATAGGCGATGTCCAGTCATGCATAATATACGACTATTCAATAGATCGCACGGCCCAAACATGTTCAATAACAGGAGTAAGTGCTCTCTTGTTATTTTTATTCTTTATCAAACTTGTTCTTGTCGTGGACCGTGGGATTTACGTGTTATTAGTTCCGCCAAGATTCTTGTTGACCTATAAACACTTGCAATGAAGGGTCGGTTTATATCGAACCGATACATACATATACCACTACTAACATGTTCTAAACGTTTAGTTTTATTAATCGTCATCTACATAAATGTTGTAGATTTCATGGAATCTCTGAACAACGTTAAGAATTTGAAGATCCACTTGGAATGTTTCGAGAAGATGATATCATTTCTAGTGTTGTGATATTTAATGGATCGTGCACATAGTGTTGAAATGAGTAACTCTTAAAATAATGTGGATGACCTCGTCATCTCCCAATTAACATTAATATTGATCTAATGTATTGTTCATTTGTAGTTAAACTACGACACGCGACTGTGTGGGCTGTGCCCATATGCACAGAGTCGAGTGGACGGGGACCATCGACAGTCGCATGCGCAGTGCCCGACTGATGGATCTGGTCGGCTGTTATGTTGGGATGATAAACACTGTCAGAAGGGTGAGTATCACACTGAAATCATAACACATTTATACTGACTGCAGAATTTGCAATAAGTTATTGTTATGAGCGCTAGCGCACTTTCGATATAAACTAAATAGATTACAAGTATTATTAAGTAAGTGATGGACGTATTATAAACAAAGGGAGCAATGGACTTTAAAGACGTGGGGAGCATGGGTCATTATAGTAACGTAGATGATGCAATGATATGACACATACGCCTGATTGTAATAGTCGCTTGGATATCAGCCGTTGTTATACTCACCGATGTTTTTCAATACGCTACGGCTAGTTCTCATATGAATGCCCTGTACTATACATGAATGTAAGTAAACTCGACCAAAATCAAGTTTATGTTCACGTACACTAGCTCGCAAAACGTAGGTGAAGTTTTAACTAAGTGTAGACCTACTATGATTATATTCTTTCCGATTTGCAACATTAGCTAATGTTCATGTGATATACAGTTTGTCCAAAGAAATGCGGTGACAGTGGGTGTCTAAATAATGGCACATGTTGCCATGCGTCCTGCCTGGGCGGTTGCACCGGGCCCACCTCCTGGGATTGCCACGCCTGCCGAAACTTCTCCATCGGGGATGGTCCTGAAAGAAAATGCGTAGAGAAATGCCCCTCTGATCTTTATGAGGTGACTTTCTCACTTTACCTATATTAGTTAAGTTTTTTTTTATGGAAAAAGCTGGTAAACGCGCAGACGGATCACCTGATGGTAAGCTATCGGCGTCGCCCATGGACACCTGGAACACCAAAGGCGTTACAAGTGCGTTACCGTTCTTTTGGGGATTAGGAGTTTGAGAATCGTTGGTGGTAGGTAGTATAATTCATTATAATTAGCTCGAGTCATATGTTTAAGTTGTTGATAGGCATGTATGAATTTGTGGAATGACGAGGATGTTATACCGCAAACCTCAGTCTGTATGTTAACATGTCTAATTTGCACGGATTGAGAATGGATGATGGTTAGTAGCGCTTGTTATACATAAACGAGTATAAATATTGCCGCTTGGACAGGAAGAGGTGATATCAAAAGACATAGATCTAGGGAACAATAAAAAATGTGAACATTACTTAAAAAATAAAATTCTTTGACGACATGGGAATGGCAGTCTAGCAGTAGCGGCTCCTGCCATTACTTGACCGTCTTCGTCGAAGTAAAGCCTGTTGCGTTGTATCCAGTTGTTCCACCGCTGCGTGACGGAGTCCGCGTGCCGCGCCACGAAGCCGCCCACCAACGCCGAGGCGGACCACCGCGGCGCCTCGCCACACATCCGCAAGTACAAGATATTCAACAACAGCTGCGTGTTTACCTGCCGCAGCGGGTACATGGAGGTGCGTATACGTTCCTACAGAAGGTTATAAATTATTATGTAAAGACAGGGTTAAAGCAATCGATATATAGATCACATTCACATTATTTTAAAACTTAAGTTATCAAACACTATAACTTATTCCATCTCATGAGAAAAGTTGGGGTTGAACTTGAATTTGTATTTTTTTATAAAACTACGTATGAGTCATTTTCACTTTTGACAAATGACTGGTTTAGTGCATCAGTCACCACACGATGATTGGAAAATTAAGGATTTCTTTGTGTTTTAGGTGGGCGATGCTAACAACTTGACATGCCAGCAATGTCCGGCGTCGGGCTGCGTGAAGGAGTGCGCGGGGGGCAAGATAGACTCCGTGGCGGCGGCGGAGCAGTTCCAGGGCTGCACGCACATCAAGGGGAAACTAGAGATCAATATCCGCGCCTCTGGTGGTGAGGTTCATATAATCACTTTACTTTTATTTATCTTCCACCTGACTGTTCCAACTTTAAGCTCCCTTGCATATTTGGTATCAGAAGTTAACATAGATAATAGTCAAAATACGAAAATAAAGTTACTTCTGTGAATCGCAGAGTGACTATTGTCTGCAGAAAGTTTGCGTTATATCACACATGATTGTCACCATGCTTAAAAACCCAAGCTTTGATAAAATATAGATATCAGTCGTATAGTCATGTAAGACAGCGATTAACACATCTATTTTGTATTATAGGTAATACTTTAGCAGTATTAGAAAACTCATTGGGCGACATACGAGAAATAACTGGTATGTTACAAGTGGTGCGCGCGTTTCCACTAGTGTCGTTGATGTTTCTCAAGAAACTGAGGAAAATCACGGGATCCTGGGAACCAGGTGCCAAAAATCGGTAAGATATAAATATAAGAGACTTTTTTACGTAATATTCGTATTAACATTTTTAGAACCATTTTATTACAAAATCATTCTCAGTGCTCTTTCCATTCTCGTTTATTTTGGTAACATTAAACTATGCTAACACCAAGAATCTCTACTATAGGAGGGTGAGATGAACCTCAACTATAAGTGGCAATCATTATGCGCATGGCCCCTTAAACATTTCCGTTTCATTTCCAAGTCAATTAAAAACAAAGTATGAATACATTCGAGGTCATCGCGTTAGGAAAATTTTATAGGTGTAAAGTAACAGGCTGGTCGGGAGTGGCCGCGATGCGAGTACGTGTTTATATAGTAGCTAGCTATATACGTATCATATTATTGTATAATTTGATAATTTCTTTGTAATATTATTGAAGGCTACTTTTATCATGGCGGTGTATGCCTGATAGATAATGTCTATATTTTCAAAGGGTACATAAACAACAGCTCTCTTATAAACGTATAAATCATTTAATTTAACGAGCATTAGATACGGAGTCGCCATTTTATAAAATACGATATTATTTATTACTATTTGATTTACTTTATGAATGATAACTTTTCAGTGGTCAAGTGATACATATATTCAACAACCCGAACCTTGAGTTACTGTGGGACTGGCCGAGTCATGGCCCCATCGACATCGTGGGAGGCAGTCTGTTCATACATCTCAACCCAAAGCTGTGCTACATCAACATACTGCCGCTAAAGAACATGACCAGGGAACCGCGCTCTAATTTCACCGAAATTGAAGTGTCGGAGGATAACAATGGAAACCAGGCTTCCTGTGAGTACATAGCTTGTAACTAAATAGTTAAGTAATTACACAAATGTTAATTCTTCATTTAACAATAATTAAGATTGTTTTAAAGATTAGCTCTAAATGGACAAGATATTTCAGAATAAACTTACATTTGAACAATTATAGAAAGACTATACCTAGTTTTGTTAGTTGGGAATCTAAAATATTATTCTGAGTGAAACAATCAAACAATAGGTTCAACTACATTCCTCGATCAATCAGTCAACATTAGAGTATCATCTACATGGCATACGCGCACCTTGACGATGTACAAGATGTAGAGAACTTGATGTATTTCTTTACGAACATTATTTTAAGGCGAGAGTACAATGCCATTACAAAATTCCAAGTAATACAAAATCTGTTCTTCTATTAACATCTGACTTTCTTATATATATATATATACCTATGTTTTTGGCCATCAGGTTTGCCGGACAAGCTGCATGTGAAAGCGAGTCAGTTGTATGACAAGGCAGTGGTACTGTCGTGGAACATGTACTGTCCTGAAGATATGCGCAAGTTGTTAGGATACTCCATCTACTACATCGCGACGGATCTTAACGTCACCCTCTATGAACAGAGGGATGTCTGCTCAGATCGGTGAGTATTCTAATTTAATTGCTTTTTTATTTTTTACACATCATATAACGTTACTTCTCGTAATTTCCAAAAGGCAGCAGTGTTGCGCTTAATTGTATGTATCATAATCATAAGTAACAGTAACATCAACTTATCATTAGTTATGTTATTGAGTGTCACACGTAAAATGAGTTAGGTACGCTCATTAAGCTTATTAGGTACTGAGAATGATCCAAAATAGAAAACTCAATTCAGTAATGGAATCAGGCACCTTGTGCCTGGTACCAATGAGGCAGTCAGCAATAATACGTACCTACACCGATATCAATGTTTATTATGATTGAATTCATCTGTCTTGGTATTTCAGATGGAACGTTCTCGATATAACAGCAGATGAAGCGCGTAACTACACGAGGGATGCTCCTGCCGGCAATCAAAACCAAAACGAGATTCTGTTGAACCCTTGTCAAAACAGACAACCCTTGTTCTGTCCAGTCTCACACCTCACCCCCTTCACTCGTTACGCAGCGTACGTCAAGACATACACTACCACGCAGGAGAAGAAGGGCGCACAGAGTTCCATCATATATTTCGTTACTTTACCTGAAAGTACGTTTCACTCGTCTTTGTTAAAAATACAAATTAAATTGTAACGTTTACTTTTATCACTTAGTTATTAGTTTATACCTGGATGTTATATGGAGTGCGTGGTCCGTAGGGCCGAGTCCCCCGGTGGCGCTGTCGGTAGAGATGGTGTCTCCCCACTCAGTGTTCATCAGTTGGTCGCCGCCCACGATGCCCAACGGGACCATCATACTCTACCACGTCGAAGTACAAGCCAACAGCTACAACAAACCCAAGATATTGGCTGGAAATACTAATTATTGTTCCAATCGTAAGTTTTCATCTTAAATACCTACACTGCATCGTTTTCATCTATTTAAAACGATTATTTGTCTCATTCCTGAGTAAATTAACAAATGATGTTCTTGTTTTAGCGAGTCTCCTGACCAACATGATCACAGCGCAATCCGAGGAACCTGCGGAAACACAGGAGCAAAAGACTACCGGTGACGTCACAAATGGCTCGTGTGCTTGCAAGGAAGAGGACAAACCAGGCACCCGGTTCAATTCCCGCATAGAGGAAGACCGCAGGGAGACTATCGCCTTTGAGAATCAGCTGCAGAATACTGTACATTACTTTCAAGTCAATTTTATCTTATATCAATGTCTAGACTAAAAACTTATTAAAACATTCTAATTTATATCATACAGGTCTACGTAAAGAATGATAATAGACCGAAAGCGAAGAGAGTGAAGCGTTCCGTCGACCACACCCTGAACAGTATGCTTGTGAAACTGACAAAAAACTTTGAGCCCCAGGTTGGACTGAACTACACGAACAGCACGGACGAGGAAGGTAAGTCGCGAACCCTTATAGGAATTGGATTAACAATGTATCATCTGTTCATTGTCCTGTTAACATTTCATTTACGCCGTAAGACTTGCTTTCTCTGATCGTCCTTCATGGCCTCGCTTGTCACCGCTCACAACCTCATCACGACCATCTAACATTCTCATTTCAGCCAACTGCAGTCGCATCGAGCCTAATGCTTGCGTCGTAAAGGACTCCACAGGTTACAAACATAGACATATTTGTTTTACATTACACGGGTATTTGGTTGCTGCATGTTGCCGACATCACCTCACTATCATACATTCTCTGATCTTCATTTCTAAGGTCATCGTCAACGGAGTATAAGGATTTAATCTGGATACTCTTTCATTGCATGATGTTTCGTAGTTATTGTGGCACCAGACCGACTCGACTTTGTATTGCATGCAGTAATTTAGTTGTAGTTAATTAATTTACAAGTAAATATACAAATAATAACAACTTGATCGTAAGTACAAGTACTCATACATTGTACATAGTACAAGTATATAAATAAATTCAACAAAATAATTAAGGTTGACTATAGAAAAAAGAATAAAAATAGTTTATATGAAAGTTAGAATATTTTATGACCTTCTGGGTTATTGTTACGATTGAACAAAACGTACGTATAGTATGTTTTATCTATATACATCAAGGAAACCGCAATACTACTGAGCTTGAATTATTCATTAAATGAACAGTGACACAATTGTTCATCGCAAGTATAATCTGCGAATTACTATCCAATATTATTATTTAAACACTTCCGATGTATCGAATGAGCAATTCATAGGAAAAATTGTTAACTTTGGAATGTGAAAACGTAGAGAGAAGAAGTCTGCACGTAAGCACCAGCGCTTGTAAGCAGGATATTGAACGTGAATGTTTGTTCGTAGGCTATGTGAAGTCGTTGTACTTCGAGCTGGGCGGCAAGGTGCAGACGCTGAAGGTGACCAACATGCGCCACTTCACGTGGTACACCGTCAGCATCTGGGCGTGTCGCTCCCGCCACGAGAACGAGTCCGTCGCCGACTACAACGACAAGTGGTGCTCCAACCGGTCCTACAACACCTTCCGCACTCCGGAACGAGGTAACCCTGCGCTGGGCTTCATACCTCCGAGCTATTGCTAACGAGGACTTTTGAAAACACTCATTATTCATTTGTTTTGACAATTCTAGACTAGAATAGCTTCTCGCTCTGTAGACAATGTTAGATTTTTTTTGCTACAACATAATGTAATTAATGTTTGCAGTGAACGCGGATATAGTGGACAATTTGCAAGCTGAAGTGATTATATCAAACAAAACGTTAGGTGAAGTGAACGTCACTTGGAAACCGCCGAAAAATCCGAACGGATTTGTCGTAGCGTACTCCGTGTACTACACCCGTGTTGACGAGAGCACATCATTGGTAAGTAGTGCTTATCACATAGACATGATAGCCTCAATAACGATCCGGAAAATTGATTTAATTTTTAAATACGTTATGTAAGAAGACGAAGAGTAATTATGCCACTTTTGCTGGTCAACCATTGTCTTCAAAAAATTTACAGGATATTTGCTTTACCTAGTTTAGGTAAGGGAAATAGAGTAGGATTTACTTTAAGATTAATGATAATCGCAATATCTACCTACTAAAATGTAATTTTGTTGTCCATGGCCAGACGCCGTCTGGTTTGCAGGGTTGTGTGACAGCGGACGAGTACGAGAAGAATGGCCACAGCTACACCCTGCGCAGCCTGGCGCCAGGGAACTATACCATCGAGGTCACGCCCATCACTGTCGCTGGCTCAGGAAACACCTCCGCTGTACATCCACCCATCTTCATACCGGTAATATTCCTTCACAATGTTTTTGTTAATGTTTTTTTTTTATGTGAGGTATATATTTATCTCTTCATGTCGGTTTGGAATACGGCGATTTTTTTTTACACACTTCAAAAGTATCCTCTTACCTACAAAGTCAAAGCATTTATTTCAATTAATTTTTAACTTTTGAAACGTCATAAATTGAATTGACCGCCCGTCTGTCGGTCAGTGAAGCTAGGCGCTCGTTCCAAAGAGTACAAAGATAGTAAAATCTACTTCGCGATCATTATTTTTGCCTATTTAATGATTCCGATTGGATTAGTGTACCGAGTGTGCAATGTGAGTGCAGGAGAGGTCGGCGGAGAGCGCGTACGAGTGGGTGTGGGGCGTGGTGGGGGGCTGCGTGATGATGGGCGCGCTGCTGGGCGCCGGCCTGTGGTACGCGCGCCGCGCCCTGCTGCCCTCCGCCGAGGCCAACAAACTCTTCGCCAGCGTCAACCCGGAGTATGTCTCCACCATGTACGTGCCCGACGAGTGGGAGGTGCCGCGCGCCTCCGTCGAGTTCATTCGGGAGCTGGGCCAGGGCTCCTTCGGAATGGTAATTGCTATGTTTATTACTTTCATTTATGACTCGATCACACATAACGAAAAACAACCAATATAAGGAACGCTTTAATTTAAATACTGATCTTTCCTTCAGGTATACGAAGGCCTTGCTAAAGGTATAGAAAAAGGAAAAGCGGAGACACGGTGTGCTGTTAAAACTGTCAACGAGCACGCCACTGACAGGGAACGTCAAGAATTCTTGAACGAGGCTTCGGTGATGAAGGCATTCGACACGTTCCATGTAGTGCGACTGCTGGGCGTGGTATCTCGCGGACAGCCCACGCTCGTCATCATGGAGCTCATGGAGTTCGGGGACCTCAAGACGTACCTGCGCTCGCACAGACCTGATGCAGACGCATCGCTCCCGCGCAAGGGCGGCAGTGATCCTCCTACATTGGAGAATATACTACAGGTGTGTTACGTCATGAATATGCTCAATATTACATCCATGACAATGTCGTAATAACGTTTTGTAATTATTGTTTATTAATTTTCAGATGGCTATAGAAATAGCCGACGGTATGGCCTACCTATCGGCCAAAAAATTCGTGCACCGCGATCTCGCGGCGCGCAACTGTATGGTCGCCGGAGACCTTACCGTGAAGGTCGGGGACTTCGGTATGACCAGAGACATCTACGAGACTGATTACTATAGGAAAGGCACCAAAGGCCTATTGCCGGTGCGCTGGATGAGTCCAGAGAGCCTCAAAGATGGAGTAAGTCGATAGGCATATTATTCTTTCACACTTAATAAACGAGATTCGGTCGAGGACATTAATAATTCGATGTCTTGTAGGTGTTCTCGAGTAGTAGCGACGTGTGGAGTTATGGCGTCGTGTTGTGGGAGATGGCGACGCTCGCCATGCAGCCCTACCAGGTGAGTGGACGCCGAGTAGCGAGGCGAGGCGGGCGAGGTGGTGACGTCATTGCGTGTGTGGTGACGCCATGGTGTGTGTGCAGGGGCTGTCCAACGAGCAGGTGGTGCGGTACGTGGTGGAGGGCGGCGTGATGGAGCGGCCGGAGCACTGCCCGGACCGCCTGTACGAGCTGATGCGCGCGTGCTGGGCGCACCGCGCGCCCACGCGGCCGTCCTTCCTGCAGCTGGTGGCGGACCTGGCGCCGTCCGCGCACGCCCACTTCCGCCAGCGGAGCTTCTTCCACACGCCGCAGGGACAGGAGATGTACTCGCTGCAGCGCACCACCATGGGTCAGTACCGGAGCGTTATTATGCTTTTCTCTTAAACGTATCGACGATGCTCGATTATGCCAGGATGAATATGCAGATTAGTAATAAAAAAAAGTGCCTAATGATCGTATCGATTTCAATAATTCCGTAGCGTAGCGATCTTGAAAAGATTTTCAAATCGTCTTCTGGATGCCTCCCTCCGTCCTGGTCTACATCAGCAAATGATAACATTTGTTGCTAGTGCGAATTTGTGTATAATACGAGCCCGCTTTCTTTCCCCCGTCGCACCCGTAGAGCCGTATGCCGAGTCGCCGGCACGCTGTTGAGACGTAAGTAGCGGAACTTGCATGTTTGACGTAACGTTACATGTGTGCGGGCACTTTTGTTATCATTTCCTGACTGACCATGAACCATTGTAGTCCAGTATAAATAATTTGCGGTCCTGATTTCTATGTCAAAGCTACTTATAATTAAATAGATATGCCACGGGGACACCTTGCAAGTTTCGAAAAGGTTTAACAAGAAGTTAAAAACCTGTACCCAACAGCTTTTTGTGTCTGGCTTAAGTAGTCTAGAATACTTAAAAAAAAAGGTATTTAGATGGAAGTGTCCAAAACTTTACACCAGGGAGAGGAGCTTGTAGTTCATGGAGAAAATAAAACGAATGTGTCTGTGTGCCAAATTACGAAACAATAAAGTCGCGTTATTTGTCGTACTTACCATGTTGGTGTGAGGTTTGGGACACACTTTAGTATAGAAGATAAAACATGTTAGCATGTTATGTAGGCACTGGATTTGATAATATGACACTTAGAGTTTCACTGGCTAATCGTATCCCGCACTGGGTCGCGAGGTGCCCCATGTCGCTGGTAAGTGACGCTCGGTGTGTCCACAGAGGACGAGGCGGAGCTGGCCGAGGTGAACGTGGGCGCCGTTGCCACCGGCTCCGGCTCCAACCTGTTCGGCGTGTCGGGGCGGCTTGCGTCCTGGGTGCGCGAGCTGTCCTCGCTGCGCTCGCGCGCCTCCGAAGACGCGGCCGCCGAGCCGCTGCAGCCGCTGCGCGCGGACCCCAAGGGGAACGGCGGGCCTCTACCGCCCTGCTAGCCCCGCTGGCCGCGCTAGCCCCGCTAGTCTCGCTGGCCGCGCTAGCACTGTGAGCCCCGCGAGCCCCGCCGGACTATGCTACGTGGCGGGGCTCGCCCGCATTTATTACGTTATCGTGCGCCCGATGGACGGACGCTCGAGTATTGTTGTTTTTCAAGAGCTCGACGCGAGAGGGCGATGCGTTTGTTTTCGTGTGACGATTCGTTTTCATATCAGGAAAGTAATATTTTTGCTGAGACGATATTAAGTGAGTCGATATGTCTCGACGTGAATCCTATATAGTTTACCTCGACGTTATTATATAGTTATAGATCGATGTCACTTTTGACATAGCCTATTAATGTTAAGTTTACCATTTAAGATGTAAAGCGTGTATAGTTTTATGTAGGCGAGATCGTGTACAAATTATTTTTATTATTATTAATTTCTTGACGTATAGTTCGGTACCTTGCTACTGTTTCAAAGTGAACAAGTAACAGGTGTCAAATTCGTTGAAGTTGTTATGTTGTTGTGCCAAGTACTTTTATTACAAACGTACTTGCGAAATGAATTTGTCACTTGTCCTAATAAATACAAGTTGCATCTGCTTATAATACTCAACTGTTGGATTTGCCGCTTTAGATATCAGCTATTTTTCTACTTGTATAAAGTATAATTTGAAATATTGAATTAAAATAAAATTAACCACCAAAGATTTGGAAAGTAAACGTCTAAATTTACAAGTCTTTTATGCTGTTACTTATTGTAGCTGTGTTATCAATGTTTGCAAAGATAATTATATAATTGTATTAGAGTAATTATACAGGGTCGTTTCAAATTAGTTGTAACTGGTTTTAGTAGGAACGTGAAGCAACACCCACAGTTTAGTCATAATGCGTAAGTTAACGAGAAAAGACGAAAAACGTGTTACTTAGTGTTGCCGGCCATACGTATCGATATATATTGTAACATGCAGACCGCACGAGGGCTCACGGCTCGTGCGCTTTGCACAGCGAGTACTTACTAGTGCCAGTTAAGTGACAACGTTGAATTTAAATGACTTTATATACCGCAACATTTGTTTAACAACATGTTATTGTGTACGTGAATATAAATGTAGATCGTAATCATGTTACAGTTATTCTCAGTTACAAGTTACGCCGATAACAATGTGTTCCCCATCGACTTAAATGCAATAGACAATTCCTGCCACTATTGTTAAATATTTATATTACTAGACTGCATACTATTATTGTTTAAATACGAGTAAATGTTATGTAACCAAAGTATGAGTGCAACTGACAGTGTGCCTATATTTACAGTGGTTCATCGCTTGTACACAATGGGTAGCTGGAGTTTGATACTATTTCAAAACTTAAACATTCTGATCTAAGATCGAGACGATTATAAGTTATCTGATTAGATAGTTGACTTACTAGTAATTAAGCAATTATAGGGTGCGTCCCTATTAGTACAATAACAGATTTTTAGAGCGATAGTTAATACAATCATGTATGCAAAGCTCATACCATCTATCACCTTCTGAACTATCCAGTTCTATACTCAATTCATTTTGTCACAAGTTTTTACATAATAATTATGTACGGCGTTATTTGAATAAAAAACTAGAATTAATTAAAACAATTCTAATCTTGAATTCATCTTGATAGCTAGTAGACACTATATTTGTTTTCTTGGTAGAAGACTACTAGTTTATCTCTTCCTTTATAGCCATTGATGAATTTCATATAGAAAACGTAAAAAATGCAATTTATTAATCGTATTATATCTTTTTTTATTTGACGGGTTTTAATAAATAGCTGAAATTCTGTGCGCATCTCTTAGTACCTAATTCATTTGAACAAGTGATGATCTACTGTACGGCATAAATAGGTGACCTATGGCATAATAAGCACAAGCGTTGCGTAGGCCACATGGCATGAAGCAGGATACAGAGCTCAAATATAAAAAAAAAAACTGATGCTCTTTATGAATCTGATCCGAGTACATAAGTATATTTATACTTTTTATATTTTGTATGAGTCATGTGTGCTAGCCCTTTATTACATGCAGAGCCAATCAGTGAACCATCTCCATAATATTGTTACAACGTACTGTAGTATCTCATTGTAGATAATAACTTAATAAGTTACTGATATAGCATATTTATAAAATGCGAATATATTTATGTCTGTAAGGTTGCTAAGTATAGAAACGTTTCAATGAGAACATGCTTAAAGTCCAACTTTTATTGTGTTCATATTGTTCCATTTGTATAGTTACAGTTTTGTACTTTAGTCCACTGCAATATATGTGTAGTAACACAACGTAATAGCTAGGTATAATATAACTATGTAGTTCCTTTTTATTATTTTTGTTCACATTTATTGTGCAGTGATTTTTGGCAGCAAGTTTGTAGATATTATTGACTTTGTTAATTTAATTAATGACATGCCTAGAAATAGATAAGGTCGTGGGGTGAATTTATGATGGTTTGAATATGAATTTACAATTACATTTGATTTACATTTAATTTTGTATTTTATACTTACAACTACATTGATAGCAAGTTTCTTGTTAAATTTAACTAGGAAAATGTTAGCTACATAATATTGTAATTAACTGTAATAAAATATAATTATATTAATATACAATCAACCAAAGGTAAACTCCAATAATGTACAACAGTGGTGGACGTCAGACCCCAGCAGTGAGCGCGGCTGGGGTCCGAGGCCCGCTCTAGTAAATAACAACTGTTACGATAATGTGGTTTAAGGGTTTAAACGAGTGCCTTCAGACATCCAGCCTTTATTGCATGCAGGTTTGTTGATTGTGTGAGGTGGACACATGCCGCATGCATTCAGTACTCTCTATTTCTTTTATATACACGTGTTCGTTTAACAAGTAACGCTAGAATGTCGAGTATACAATTGTTTTCATTTTAACACAATCAAGAAACTGTGCCACGGAAATCAATTCAGCTCGGTTGGCTATGTATATGGGCGATATGTTACGAATGGCTTACCGATAGTATTTTATTTAAGTCGTTGACCACCTTTATTTGTGAATTAGTAATAAATCAGGTAAAAAGTAATGTAAGTAATACGTCGGTTGAAAGGGGAAGGGAATGTGACCAGGGCAGACTGGGACTAGTACGTGATCGTACACGTTTGTGTTGTCGGGGGCACAAGGCACGTTGCAACACTGATTCAACCATTTTAGTAGAATTGAAACAATCTTCGTTAAAACCCAAATATTGTTTTATGTGTAAAATTTGCATAGTGCCTTTTGCTCAATTATGAGGAATGTCGTAGGTAGGTATCGTTAAGTGTAACCTAAATATATTAGAACTATAACTTAGTTCCATTGCTATCGCGAATATTCCAGTGCAGTGAAATAAAGAAAGCCCCACCAAACCAGTAGCACTGCACGGGCGTATTGGCGAGGAGTACGTTAAAACGTCAATACGTTGCCGAGTGACCGCGGCCGCGGCGAGGTCTCGCACAACGTTGCCTCACACAGCGTTCCCTGCGGCCTGTGCCTACTGTCGACCTTTGTTACTTACGCTCTTGTTTTTATCAGTATTTGTTTCATTGTGATTATCACTACAAGGCAGTTACATTACCTCATTTTTAGTGATTATATTATGCATAAATTATTGACTGATAAAGTAATTTCCAAATGATTTATTTCCTTGTGTGAATTGTGTATGTTTTGTATAAGTGTCGGGGTAGCGTTGTGCTATATGCTCAATTTAGATACAATTTCACCAAACGATTGAGATAGTGTACAATTTTATATAATTAATTTAATAAACCGAGTACCTATTAATAATTTTAATATTTATATTAATAAAAAAGTTATAAAAAATAGTAAAAAATGGTTTTCAGTTTGTCCCCTCTATTATTTTACATTCGTGTTGATATTTTTCTTGGTATACCTTATTTGTTAAAGTTAAAATATTGACCCACTTACATAGACACAGTATACTGTTTATGAACTAAAGGTTTCTCATTAAATATTCCGATACCTCTTCCTAAACGATTACACTAGTAGCCTTCAAGTGCGTTGGACAATTTTATCACCTATCAATTAAAACAGAATCTTACCTACATGCAGTTGGATAACATGGATAAAGTAAGTTACCTTTACGAACTTCAACATATTTCATCTAGGTACATTTAACTTTATGTAGGTAAGTAGCTCGTGACAGATAAGTTACTGTGTGTGAAGTTACGAAAGTACTTTGTTATAGATAAGTATTCCAACACAGGAATATGCGTAATTGTTTTATACTTTCATAAAAATCTTCTAAAAACTGCAGACATAAACTTTGACATAGTTTTTTCTTCGACCTTTTTTGCTGTTACTACTACATCAACTTTACTGATCTTACTGGATCTGGGAGTAGCTTTCTATCTCTAATTGCCTTTAAATCCAGCTTAAGAGGTTTTCGTGGTATGCGGCCAGGTACTCTACATAGGCATGGCTGATTAGTTCCATAGCGCACTAATAAGCAGTCGGATCTAATGCAGCCTTCATCACCATTGTCTTTAAACTTTCTCAAGAATCTTATATAATACTGTGGCAGACCATGTTGCCTAGCGCCAATAATTAGGAACTCTTTATATCCCCATGATGGCCATCGCTCAGTAGGAACGGGATCTCTATTACCTCTAGGCAAAGGATAAATTGTTTGCAGGTATGTTCGACACCTGAATGTACCCATATATGGAGTAAGGACCTCTATGTACCTTACAAAATATGTATCTGCCTCAATACCATTATGACTGAAACAATTAAACCAAACTTAAGTCTTAATATACAAAACTTGGTACCTAATCCAACTTCGATTTCATAACACTAAGTAAATTAAAACGGGTTTTATTGTTATTGTGCGTTCTTAGATTGATTTAATTGACACATTAATTGACAAAATACTATAAGTATACTTAGGTGCCTACTGATCAAGAGATTCGAGGTCATCTCTATGAAGTCTCCAAATGACGCCCCATACATGAGCGTTTGCCGTGGGGACAAGAGTTGCGACAGGACCACCCCAAAACTTGACATATTTATTAAAATCTAGTCTGTAATTCTGTAGACAAAGCAGGTAAGATGAGTAGGTACGTATATAACGAGAAACCAATAAATATGGTCATTGTCAAAGGTTTATGTAAGCACTTACATCTACTCGAGCAATAGAAACAAATTCAGCTGATGGATTGAACATTTTCATTCGGAATTTTACCATATTGTCACCATATGCAAAATACAAAAACGTGTCAGGTTTGCGAATCTCAGATTTCATCATTTTGATCTTTTTTAATTTATCGTCAGATGACGGAATTAAATGTACATTAATAAATAACAAAGTGATGCACTGTATGATAAAAAAAGTACTTATTCTTTTGACAATCTACATAATAGTAATAAAAGTTTGTTGGACAAGTTTCTTTTGTAACTGTCATAAATTAAATAAGGACAACTCGTAAACTTATATAAACTCTTTGATAAGGACATACAAAGAGTATAAGTACAGGGGGAACATAAACTGCTTTGAAAACCCATAAACTAGACAAAGACTAATGTGAACTATAGATTGTATGTATGCTATTTGTAAGGTACCTCATAGACATATCTTTAGTGGAAGGTAGAACAAGAAGGGGAATAGGTTGGTGCCTCAGGCGAGTGAAATATGCGGGGGTGACATCATCACCTCCTCTTTTTATATAAAACTAACAACTTCAAGCGCTCTGCTTGGCTCCTTTTGATTATATCATAATGTTTTATAGCCTATAACCTTCCTAGATAAGCACATTCAAACATACAAACTTGTCAGCTTTACCTATAAGATAAAATAAATATTTCTTAACTTTATAGAAATAATTAAATAAATATTTTGATACATTCCTTTTATTTATATTTATATTATTATTAATAATATATAGTCACATTAGTCATCACAGCTTCAAGCTTGGATACTTATTGCACAAAAAAATGTTTGTAGTTATGTGTGTACAACAGTTATGAAGTTCGGTTTAGTTTCTCAATCATACTAGGAGATGCCTCTTGTCCATTGTTTGGTATTTTTTTGAGTTCTTCAATGTAATATTCGGGTAATTTGCATTCAATTGCTCCATTTACAATACAATCTAAATATGTAATACAAGGCCTGCGATCTTCAGGTAGTTCTTCACCATTTTTTCTAACTGGAGGATTGATTGTTTGTTGATATGTTCTACAATTGGCCTGCGAACCATCTTGTAGTATAATGTCTACATTTTTAGCAAAATACCAATTGGATTCGACACCTTCTTGCCTGAAAATGAAACAAGATTTTAGTAATAAAGACATGAATGTCAAAATAATTTAAAATGTTACTAAGAATGTATAATTTATACTTGTCTAATGCAGGCATGTCATCGTTATGTAATCTCCATATTGCTCCCCATACATGGGATCCTGGATTAGGCACAATAGTGGCTGAAGTTCCCCTCCAATGCTCAGAATATTTAATAAAATCAAGCTGATGGTCCTGAAATGAGTAACAATAATTGGTTTTGAATTTTTACAGGAATAAATCAAATGAATATCACATGAAAACTTCTAAGTACCTAATAACAAAATTAACCACTTGCATGTAAGCACGTGATATTTACAATGTTTCGGTTGTAAATAAAAAAAAACGGGGATGTTAAGTACTTACCTCTAAACGTCCTATTCCTAAGAAGTTTGCTGAGGGGTTATTGATGTGAATCCTTCTTTTAAGCAGATTACTTCCGTAAGCAAAATAAAGGAACGTGTTTTCAACTTCTGCGAACATATTTACAGGACGAAGAAAATGGCCTAGAACGTTCTTTCAGTAACAGTGTGCTTATAGAATTTACGTAGAAGTGTGTGATGTTAATAAATGCAAAATCAGAGCAATATCGATAACAATAACATTTTTTTTTAGTCAAATACTGCATTACCACCGCCTTGTTTTGACAAATTGACAATTACATAGTATTGACAGTTGACAGTTTTGAACTTTGAAGTTTACTTTGACATTTTTGAGAGCTTGTCTGTCATTAGTGTCATTGACACGACAAGAAAAGAAAGATTGTTTTTTTGTAAACAAAACAAAAGTATGTTACTATGTTACTAAAATAAAATTGGAGTGTTTGTTTGTAATATTAAAATAACCACTCTTTACTACATGCATAAAATATGAATATACACATGATATACATACCAAAATTAAATTTTTCATAATTTTTGTCTGTTTGTACAGGCTAATCTGTGTAATGGCTACTTTTATTTAAAAAAGGGAAACAAAACAAGTTACATCCTAAAATTTATATTCTACGGGGACGAAGACGCGGGTAATAGCTTGCCCTCCCTATTTTGCTTATTGCCAAGTACAAAGTTAAATCCTAATTTACCCTTATGCACCAATTTAAACGTCTTTTTCAGCACTAGTACGAGTTTACCTTTTACTACCAAACTATGAGACTACTAGAATCAACAGACCCAAGTAACAGCTTGGTAGCCAGCAGTAAATTTAACTTAGTCGTATCGGCTGCGTTAGACCAAACCAAAATGAAACTCCTCATTATATAAAATTTCGAACAAAGGAGAGAGAAAGGAAGGATGGTAGGCCTTTGTTCTGTAATGGCTTCGTTTATAATATCATTAATCGATTCGAGTCTCCAACATATACAAGTGTTAGGGTGGAAGAAAAAAGGCTCATTGATTTAAATTCCGTCTATATTATGAAAGACATTGGCACTGCCATGTTTCCCTATACAATACATTACTGTAGCATAGACCTTTAAAAGTCGTCGTTCTATAGCTCGGTAATGGTCATCAGTGGTAAGCTTTTCCCCTTGGAATGAAGCCAACAATTGTATTGTCTCACTAAGACTGCCCCCTGACACCAGTTCTAACATTTGCCATGTCTTTGAAGAAATTCTGAAATTTGAAAGACAGAGTTATACCATCCATTTAACAATGTAATCAAACGTTATATAAATACCATCATAAATTAAGTTTTAAAATTAATAAATGACTTAATTTATATTGAAAGTGTCAAGTATCCTCGAATATTTTATAATTAAAACATGTAAATTATGTAACAGACAATAAGAGTGACAGAGTTGTTAGCATAAAACTGTTTTCGTATTTTACTCACATGCAACACTGATAGAGTGGCGCTAATATATCGAGTTCATCCAACATTGGATTACCCAGCCCCTTTCCATTGTCAAGTAGGAGTATTTTATGTTTGTATACTTCATATCTGTGTCGATCACCATTTTGTATTAAGAAATCAATAATAGCAATATCAATTAAATTTAATATTCTCTTAGTACTGAGAAGTGATGAGACTTTTCTGTAACATACATTAAGTTATCAGTATAATACCAAAGAATATTTTGAAATTATTAATTATTGTACTAAGAATGAGAAGAGATGGAAAATACTTACTTACAGAAGTCTTTATCATTTTCCCATTCCATTTTCATACTATTATATGAACGTCTCCAAGGTGACATATTCATTTTGAAATATTTATCTAAGTACAGTATACCTGCTCCTTCGATGTGACCAGTGCTGTCAGGACAGACAGTTTCATTTATTTTGCAATAATAGCACTTTCCATAAATACAATCTGAACCTTGACCTGAAATATGTAATAAAGTAATTTAAAACACATTAAAATTAAATATTATTACTAATGTACATATACATTTAAAACTATAAAACTTAAAAAAAAACTCAACAAATAAAATAAAACTAAAAATTTTTTTACAAAGACCATTAAAAAACTCATCCACAACGACAGCAATAGGGAAACAGTTACCACATGTTATACTAAATACCTCTTTAGGCAAATAATTAAGAATTTATTGACTGTTATAATAAATAAGTTACTTACTATTTTTTACCATAGTTCTCTTCAATCCAGGCATAGCATGAGCTAAAATGTCATAGTTTATATTAATCCTCCTTATAACAGAAGGGGCAACCCATTTGTAGTTCAATACCATAGCAAGGTAATATGTGAACACTTCGGAATTATGGCGGTCATAGCCAGCATATATGTTGCCTCTTATGACATCACTTAAATTATACCTTTTAGGTTTAAAGTATAGTTTTTGATTTCCCTGAAACATAATTAGGCTTTTATAATTTTAAAAATTTATTTATACATGTATTGATAAAAATATTAATTAAAAATAATCCTCACTATAATTTGATAGCAGCCTTATCTAATTACGTTGCACTTGTGTATAATGGATAAACCTATTGGAAAATTATAAATACTTACTTTAATCAGCATCCAATATTAATTATGTACTATTTTTCAAGTGATAGGAGCAATATTAATTAAAGTTAACCAGTAGTTAATGTAAGAAATTACTTATTGGACAAACCTTCAACACAAGTAATAACTTCAATTGCGTGCCCTTGGGAGCATTGTCAACAAACGCTATCTGTGAGGTGCGCATGGCTTGCAATATTTGTCCTGCTGCACCATTCTTATAGGGGAACAAGGACTCTTCATCAGCCCACTGGAAAATTAAGAAATCTTTAAATAATTGCGACATTTTACTACTGCAAATGTGATTATTATAATTTAATATTTATATTTTAATGCTATGCTGCAAACATACTAAAGTTTACAATAAACAGTTAGACACTAATGTGACCCCCAATAAAGTCCGAGTAGGTACTTACATTTTCAACATTTTGCCAAACACTGTCTAAACTAGCTCCCGAAGAATTAAATGAGCTAATTAAATTTCTTTGTACAGAAATAAATTTAAAATTTTTGGTGTGGTATTGACTAGGCAAACGATTGAGGTATTCGTTTATTTCTTTGATTACAGGCGGTATGGGTTCTGATTTCACCATAGGCAGCTTAAAAGTAGCAGGTCTGTGCTCTACACTCAGGTTGTAAAAGAAGTATATGTTGAGAACAACTAGTAACAGAAGAAATAATGAGAACCCAAAGATACAGTTCATCGACATACTTCATTATTTATAATATTATTCTGATGAACACAAGTTATCCACTGACTAAGATATAGGTAGGTTACAAATATTTGTTCACGGTTAGTTACTTTTTGGCTCGTTGTAGTTGTCTTACCCTTGCCTTAGTTATAAAGACTTATTTTGGCACTACAATCATACTGTATTTATCTCTCAATGAACATAATCAATGAAACTTCTCTTCAATTATTTCTAAAATTATCAGAACTAAACGAAGTCACCTTCGCGTACTGTTAATAAATTGTATATTTATACAAGTCAAGTCTGTAGCATTATCCTAGTTTTAGAGATTGTGCCAGTCTTATTTATTATTTGATTCGAATTAGAAACAAGATTTGCAACTTGTAAATACACTTACACTCCACTCTTTGAATCGTGTTCGGGACTCGGGGGTGGAGTTAAAACGTCAATGTCATGATTGTGTCACTTTGGTGTGACGGTGTCACTTGTCTTGTTAATGTCAACTTTTACAGCATCTTTCCATGTATTTTTAATCTATGTTACGCTCCAGCCACAGAGTGCAAGCACCATCTTGCAAACAAACTATGCCTTTGACTAATAAAGACCCAAGAAGACCATGATCGACAGACTACCATTTTAACCAACTTTAACCATCGGCTCTTAGCAGTACCTACTTCCCGTAAGTGAGAAATCTCCAATTCCACGTGTTCGTATGCACTCTAACGTATGTTTGCCTGGTGTATTGTGAACAGAACCACATGTAAAAATGTTATTTGTTCTTTGTTTCCAGATTTTGTGTCCATATATTATTATTATGTATGTCTTTACCATTCACGGGACCACAGGATCCCGGTCATTTGGGAGGCGTTTTTTTTTTTTTAAGGGGGGAAAATAATCGATTGACTGCTCCCGCCTGGGTGAGACGGGAGGGAGTGTCAGACTCTAACTGACTAAAAACCACCCCGTTCCTTCTCCTGCACGTCGAGTCGGAGCCCCGGTTACCCGTTAGGTTCTCCGCGACTCCGAATCGGCATCGGCCGTAGTGGGCCCCATCTGTGGTGGTCTGATGGCTCTTTGAGGCGCGCGCGGAACGCGACGCGCCGTACGCTCGGGTCTGTTTCTGGTCGGACGGGGAGCCACCCATGCTCGCCGTCCGCAGGCCCGCGCTTACGGTGGCCGGAGATCGTCCCGCGATCCCCGACGCCCGGTGTGTCCTTCGCGATGGCTGGGTTGCGAGGAGGCAGCGCTTCGCTGCCTCACGCGTCCCGCCTCCTCCTTAGCTAGCATGACTGCTTCGCAAAAGGAGGAGACGGCATCCCA